GCGCCTCCAACCCCAACGGCGCGGCCGTTACCTGGCAGGTAGACGTCTACCGGAGGGTCACTCTCGGACTGCGTCAGGCTCCTGTGCTCCCCGCAGCTACCGTCCTGCAGGACGTCTTCAACGGAGGGTGGGCGGCTACCTAGAACCAGCCGAAAGCGCAGCCCCTCAGTCCCCAGACCAGCTCTGCAGGGGCAGGCGGCCAGGATGGGTTGAGGTTTCTCATGTGAGGAAGCTCCCCGTGTCCCCCCAGAGGCCTCAGGAAAGCTGGTTAGACTGGCCCAGGTCACAGTGTCAAAGGACCACCTTTTCATCTGCAGGCTCATGCCCCAAAATGCACCCAGCACTCCCCTCTCACCCCATCCTCATGCCCTCTGGGTGCTGACCGAGCACCAGAGACCCATCCCGAAGACACGGGGCACATCCTGCACGCCCAGTACTGTGCTCACACTCTCACCAGGACCCCAGTGGTGCACGCAGCCATCTCCCCATCAGCCATGTGAGGAGACAGCCCATGGCATGGAAAGCTCTACTTGTGTACTTGCTTACAGCAAGGAGCGATGCTTGGCAAATAAACCAGGGACATCTGTTGATTTTGCTTCCCCGCTTCCCAGGAGAGACCCTAGCACCTTTCTCTGGTGAAGTACAAGCAGCTCAGAGATGGACTTCAGGGGCTGGATGTTTCTGAACTCGTATGTTCATTTCCCAACTGTCCCCCATCCCACCACAGCAGATCTATTGGTCCCACACCAAGACAAGGTCTGGCCGCCCCCACAGCCAAGTGCACACCTACCCTGCTGCAGGGATGAGGCCTCCTCGATCTCTTCCCCTGCCATGCTCTGTAAGGAGAAACAGCACAGGTTACTTCTGGAGGCCTTTGCTGCACTTGTCTCCTGCTCTGACCTTCTCCAGAGAGCTGTGGTCAAGGCCAGGGACATGTTTCCCAGAGGGAACAAGGGGCCACCCACCAGCCCTGTGGCACCATGGGTGGGAATGGAGGGGTCTTACAGGCAATGGTGCTGGAAGCCCAGCAAGGCCCAGCTGCCACCCCTGCCCCAAACACTGCCCGGCTCGCCCAGGAAGCTGGGGGAAGGTCAGCTCTGACATGGCTCTAGCCCAGTGGCCTTCCAACGCCCCAGCTCCCAAAGAGGTGTTAGGAGCGCACGGAGCAGCTATGTGCTTTGCCATGGAGCCCGATGACTAAATCAAGGCAGCCAAGACTGCTGGCTCCAGGCCACTCATGCTAACAAGCTCATCTTTACCCTGTCACTGAGGAAGCGATGGCCCTTCACATGGCATCTCCCGTGTCCCAGAAGAAGCCCTCCTCCCCCCCCAAGAGCTCTGGCTCAAAGCAGCTCCCCAGCAGACCACACTTACTTCTGGAGAGCTGGTCTCTCTCAGGACCAGCTCACCCCCGCTCAGCGCTGGCTGCGAGTCCGAGTCCTCGGAGAGCTTCTCTTCATCCTCCTCGTGGATCGGGGACGAGGGAGACCGTAGTGTGCTGAGGCAAGAGAAACTCCATTTGCAAGGAGCTGCAGTGCTGCCAGCACCACGGACCCTGGCGGATTTGGTGGCTGCGGCTCAAGTTGTCAGCACCCCTGCCCTGCCCCTCCACCAGCAGCATAAGCCAACACACATAAGGCAGGAGCTCAAACTATCGACCTAAATTCACCAGGGTCCTCCAGTATCAGCTACACGAAGAGCAGCAGCAGCAGAGTTTCGGGGACAGAGCCAAGTGGTGCAGAGCTTCAGCACAGTGACACAACTTGGACAAATCTGCCTTCGCATGGAAAGCAAGAGGCCCAGGTCCAATGCTGCTCCTCACACCTTCAGGGGCTCCCGCCCCAGGGGGAAATTTGGAATGCAGAATAGCGAGGAGTGCCAGGAACAAACCCCATCTGGCCCCATTTGTATGGCCCTGCGAAGGACACGTGAAGGGCACCTGCAGTGGGCTGCCCACTCCACAGCATCCACACCTACATCCTCCATCACAAGGCCACTAGAGGAGGCTTCAGACAATAACTACAGCATATCACTCAGCATTTTGTGCTCTGAAACTCAGGTTGCGTCTCTCCCAATTCTTTTGTTCCTGGGGAACTCCATGGAAAGCTGAAATCCAACAAGGTTTGGATGTCAAATGCAAATTGAGGGACTAACTGCATCGGAAAGGAGACATTTCCATCTGAATTTTGGATGAAATCTCCCTGTTAAAAATCCTCTGTCTTTTGGTGACAAAGCCAGCCCTCAGGAGACATAAGCTGGTAACCTCAGGCTGAACACAGGGGCAACGTCCCAATTCTCTCACTAGCCTCCTAAAATTCTGAGTTAGCGGTGATGGGACCAGCCAGAGCCCTCTCCTGGCTCCCACCGAGTGTGGCCACAAGCCCTCAGGGCTTGCAAGAGGAGTGGGCCCCTCCATCCCCATGCTGACCTATCTGGAGACTTGCTGCGTTTGCCCTTTTGGTGGCTGCTCTCCACGGCTCTGTCCATCCCAACAAGCGGGCGGCTCGCGGGCGGCATCCCATCCACCACACCAGAGTAGTTGATTTCGTCATACAGAGGAGCTGACGGGATGGAGGGGGAAACCGAGCGAAGGCCATTCAGCGCTTCCAGCAAGGAAATGGGCTCGTAGCCCGGAGGGATGTTGTCAGAGCTCTGTGGAGGAGAAAGAGCGGGCACATTAAGAAACCCTCACCAGGCTAGAAGCCCCAGAAGCCCCCCTAGAAATGGGAGGCCCCGCTGCAACCCAGCCCTGCACCTCCCACACTGCTCTCCCAAGCAGCACGTCCCTACAGCCACCTCTCTAGAGAGCCTCAGCCTCCTTCCCCTGCAACAGCCACACGTTCCCCCTTGGGCTGTAACACCGACGGTCCAGGCGAGTTTCCAGAGCAATGCTTGAGAGACCGGGCATCTCAGCGAGCCAGAGCATGGCTCAGCACCCCCTCCCTGCCATATTAGGGAGCTCTGTCAAGAGCCAGACGAGGCCAGTGGGAAAGCAGGTTCCTAACAAGGCTGCTTTAAAATGCGTTGGGTTTTTTTTTCTCGTAAAAGTTCCTCCGACGGTTCAGAGACCCTTCCAGCTCAATAAGCATTCCACTTGTGCTTCCAGCACTGTTACAGGCAGCTGTTTCACAGCACCACCAGTGTCACTAAGAGAAAGTTGAAGGAGGGGAACACGTGTGCACCAGCTGAGAGCTGGTCGTCAGAGGCTACACCACTTCCACCTCCTCCATGGTCTCGGTCCTCTCAGCTGCCAGTGGTGGCTCTCTGCACAGTCGCCTCTGCTAAAAGGTAGGAAAGGGATCATAGAACCACTGACCTCACCAGGCAGGAGGGCAAAACTGCACCAATTCCCATTCCCTCTGTAACTCACTAAGCTGCCAGTGAAAGGGACCCTTGCAAAGCCATTAAACCAGCGCTGGTTTAACTCCAAAAATCCTCCTGATTGTAAAGATTCTGTGGATGCAGAGACAAACGGGGTTTATGCTGCAACCCAGTAGACAATATGCAGCTCAGCCCAGTCCGCCAAAAACAAAGAGGCAAGACTGCAGCAGTTCAGGCTTACATTAAATTGAGCTGTTTCAGCCCTGTATCCTCAGGGAGGTGGTTCTATGTTGTACCCAAATGGCATGCTGCTGCTAAGCCCGGCCATGAACTCCCGGAGCTTCTCTGTGCCTGACCTCCCAATCACACAGCTGCAGATGAGCCTGCCCAGCAACCTGTTCCAACACAGCAATTAATTTGGTGTGAGTTGATTGCTGAACTGACTCACCTGTGGTCACAGAAGGAGCTAGATCTGAGGGGGAAGAAAGAACGAGTGGCACCTGGGGTCAAGCATCAACCCACATCCCCTAAGTACCGGTCTTGCGATGGTTATGAGCTTGCTGCGCTGAAGACGGCAGCTGGTGATTGCAAGATAACCAAGTCAGCTGAACAAGGAATCGGTTCACAGTTGCTGCCACCTGTAGGCGGTGGGGCCAAAAGCCATCTCCACAAATACATTTCATTTCCAGACAGCAGCTCCGAGGTGCTATTTTGTGGATGGAAAAGTCAGGGAGACAAATCCCCCTGGCTTATGTTTGGCACATTTTCTCTTGGCTGTGTAGACCAAGGCCTGAGGGTTTAAAGGCTGCACCTTTTGGTTTGCTGTCGTGAAAGTTGAGGTTCTGCGGCACAGGTCAGAGGCTGCAGGAGAATTCCTCAGCCAATGGCTACAAGACCCGTGCTGCAAGTTACTGAGCTTTCAAACAACCCTAAGAGACACAGCTCCTTCCTGGGACTACTAAGCTACTCCCACCACACCACCCATAGTGCCCATGGCTCCAGCAGGAGTACTGCTAGGCGCTGCAGGAGGCTTGCAGAGAGCCAGGGTCATGCCAAGTTTGCAACAGCCTCATTACCTGAACCCAGCCTCAGGTTTTCTCCAGACCTGACAAGCACAGCAAGCCACACTCCTCGTAAGGCCGAGCATCTAGGCCGGCTTGAGCAAAAGAAAACTGCAGCCTCCTTGGTTCCAATGACAGCTGTATCTGCATTTGATGGGAGCACACAAAGAGGGCACAAACAGACCCTTCCCAGACTGGGGGCCTCTCCCACTTTTCCCCTTCCCAGCTCCTGGTCCCCCATAATTGCCATTCATGCTGTCCCCAGCACAGCGTTCCAGTTACACACTCTCACGCCAACTCACAGAGTCCCCAACAAGACCAGCTCCATCCTTCCTGCTTCTGTAAAAGCTAAAGAGCCCATCGCAGCCAGTGTTCCTGAATGCAAGATCTGGTCCAACTGTGCCTAATTTGTCTACCTCTACATCCCAGCACCGGGGTGGAAACCACAACCAGGTGTGCCCACGCCAAACTGCCAAGAGGATGAGACAAGTACAAGCTTTTGGGTGAGCCAAGGGGACAGCAGCTTGCCCCCAGCCCCAAAGCTACGAAAATGTCTTGGCCAGGAACTATAAAGCAGCCAGGCTCAGGACCTGGGGACAGTCCCTGAGAGTCAGCGTCAGCCCCTGTGGCAAGCTGCTTCTATTGTGCTTATTCCTCCGCACGCAAACCAGGGAGGTTAGCGATGGTCCGTGCAGGGTGTGAGCCTCTCACCGCTAATGCGGAGGCAGTACCTGTTGTGTGACAGCCTGTGCAGGGGAACAAGTCAAACCCAGCGTGTTAGCAAGCCCTCGCATGTGTAACACTTCCACGTGCTAGTGACACTGCTTGCAAAGAGTTGCCATAGGAGCCAAACACAACCAAGTCCACTTACTGTTTCCCTTCTAGGTTTCCTGCTGGACAGGGAGACAGTGCTCACTTTAAGGGGTTTAAAGGGACACTGTCAAGAGAAAACCATGTTTTAAAGAAGTTGTTTCTTGAGGTTAGTGACATGAAGAGCCACATAGCATCTCCTCACCTCGCTCCAGGTGCCAGAACCTGCTTCCTCTACACACCATACTCTGCTTCACAACAACCCTTGAGGTCTCTCCCCTGCCCTATTTCTTAGCCCCACTTGAAGGCAGCAGAGCTACAATGCTGAGAGGACAGAGAGATAAACCCAGGCTTTTTCTGTGACAATATCCTTCTGTTCCCGTGAACGTCTGCGATATGATCTAGATGCAGATCTCCCTCTCCTCACTATGTCACGTGTCTCGCCAGAGCCAGCTGTGCAACAAGCACTGCTTAGGGCTGGCCTCACTGCACTGAGGACGTGCGACCGGGCCCCGAGGCCACGAGCACCATACTTTCCATCCCACACTCCCTCAGCTGCCTGCCGAGACCCTGATCACTCAGGGAGGCTGGCACAAAGAGGCCTTTCTGCTACCATGCTGGGAACCTCAATGCCAAGGGGCATTTCATCAGAGCGTGCGACACAGATGTGCGTGCAAGTCAAACTGTGACCCCTCCCACTGTCCCAACTCCCACCCTGTCATCCCCAGAGTCTGCCACTTTTCTGCTGGGACAGGCCCTGAGAAGTCTTCTCAGACTGACGTTTCTGTGGATTTGTTTCCTCCAAAAGACAGGAGTGCACTTGGCTAAAACCAGCCCTATTACTAATCCACGAGAGGAGAGATCCCGGCTGTCTAGCAGGGCTGACAAGAAAGGCTGCACCCTCAGAAACACCTCGCTCCAAGGCCTGAGCGCACCCCCTGAGGTCCCAGGCACGCCAGCCATCAGGTCGAGCAACTCATGCGTGTACAAGCTGCCCGCTCAGGCTGAGACCAGCACACAGGCTTTGTGCACGAGGTTGCGAGGTACTTACAGAGTGCTCGTCGTGGTCAACACTCTGTGCCAACACAGGGCTGAACGACACTGGCGACAGAGCCCCTGGCTTCTTCCTCACAGCCCGGATCTGCAGCAGGGCACGGAAGGCTAGGAGAGAAGAGCAAGCAGGTGACTGCATGGCCAAACAGGACCACATCATGCTAGACGTGTCCTGGAGCAACTCAGCTCGCCGCAGACACAGTGTCAGCGTGGGGGAGCTCCCAGTGTGCATGGGGAACAGGATCACGGAGCACACCAAAGCCAAGCGCTATGGCCTGGCTTCTAGTTGATCGGTCTATACTGGTGAGAGATCTGTTGGCCAAAAATGTCTGGGTACCTGTAGCCCTTGCGGAGAATGGGTTCTGCCTGCCCCAGTACAGTCATGTACAGAGGTGCTTCAGGCCTGATACTGTACAACACAGTAAGAAAAACATGAGCTCAGCCTCAGGAAGCACATGCAAGCTAAAGAATGGCAGGGGACCTCAGGTAAAACCCTGGGGTCCACCTGAAGCCCGAAGCATCACTCCTGCCATCAGCTGCTCACTCACTGGCCAGCACTATGGCGGTGAGAGGCTCTGCAACAGCTGCAAATCCTGCCAGAGGGTTAGTGGCTGAAGTCCCATCTCCAGTACAGCGATCCCTTGGTCCTCCCACCACAACAGCTTTGATCTCCACTCCCTGCCCACAGTCCTATTCTCTATCTGCAGATCTTTAATATTGTTAGTTCCTCTGTGCCAAGGGGGCGTACGAATGAGCCAGACATCTGTTCTGATGCAGCTGTAAGAACTTGCTCATACATAAGGAAAAGCCCAAGCATTTCTTACGGCACCCAGATGCTTGCAAGATCAGCCTGGAGTCAGAGGACAGAGGTGCAATCTAACCTCGCTGCCTCTGCACTCCCCAGAAGCAAATTCCCAGGAAGTCTGACATGGGGGCACTTTCCAAACAAATACAATCTACTCCGCTGCAGCGTGCAGATGAGATAGCGGTGTTCCTGTGCTTTAAGTTGTGCTACTTAGAGTCAAAGCTGTCTGGCACTTCCTCTGATAAGATCTTGCACAAAATCAGATGTTACTGCACCTTTGCCAAGTTTGAACTGTTTAGACTTAATTTCTTAGGCCAAACATCTGTCTTAGGCTCTTTTTTCTTTTCCTGAGAAGTATCAGTTAGAAACAATCAAATACCTCAGAGACCAAGCACAGGGTAAAACACGAGCTGTCTATTCCAGCAAAAACACAGGCGTTTTCCCAAGAGACTCCTATGCCTGCGTGCTTTTTAGAAAAGGCATGGAATTTAGCAAGTGCTGCCTGAGTGTCAGAATGGGTACTTCATTTTTTCCATCTTTTGGGAGCTGAGCAATGGAGGGGTTAAGCAGATCCTCCTAACTCTCCTGTTAAAGCAAAGGACTCCAATTGACTGTCATCTCTGCCTTCCGGGTGAAGTCAAAGTAAGGTTGTCGGAGGGGGGGGGGAAAGTCATGCAAAGTACTTGGACAGCCCTCTGACGGGGCTCCCTGCTGTATTGGCCAGATAATCTCAGGATAAAGCTTCTACATTGCCTCCTTTGGGGGATTTTCCATCTTCTTCACCAAAACACAAGAACTGCCTACATGGCGCAGCTCAGAGCACCTGCACCTTCAGATCCACCTCAGGGAGAGGGCAAGTGGCCATGGAGGCACTGGACAAAGGGCCATTCTCCCATGTGCTCTCTTCCTTCCCTGTTTGAGGACAGTTATTTTAGGTGCCAGGAATCTCCAGATGCCAGTGAGAGCAGGAGTGTGTTTGATGCTCAGCCTTGGGGTGGCGTGTATAAAATACACGCTCCTTCTCACAGCTTTTACTGACTTAACAGGAGCCCAGGAGGGAGAAAGATGCCCTTGTTTCCTGGGCACATACTCACGCAGCCTGCAGATGGGGCAGTTGTTGGCCTGGTAGCGCAGGGTGTCAGCACAGGAATTGCACAGACAGAGGTGTCTGCAGGGCAGAATGAGGGTGTCACGGAGGTCCGACAGGCAAACCACGCACTCGTTGCTGTTGTCACTGTTCTCATCATCTGAAGGCTGCAATGAGGAGCAAGATGTTGGCATTTGAATGGTAAGAGCCACACCAAACCACCAAGGGACTCTGAAGCCTGGGGAAATTTCCCACCCAAAAGTCAGTGAGAGAGCTGGCATCCTCTTTCCACAGCTCTCAGCAGGAGTTTCTCAAGGAGAGCAAGCTCCAGCCCACGCAGCCCTGCTATGGACACTCCTTCCTCTCAGGGCTCTGCTCTGAGCTCACTAAAGTCCAGAGGCCAGGGCACCGTGCTGTGAATTCACGGCGTAGCTGTCCTTCCCCACAGGTAGGCTGTGTGCAGAGGGGAGCCCCTTTGGGGTAGGGATCCCCTTGGCTGAGGGGGACCAAGAACAAGCTCCTGCCCGCCAGCCTGGCGGCTCCCAGGGTCAGCAGGGAAGCTGGCTCTTTGGCAGTCCTGCCTTTCTGCCCCATGTCTACAGAGAGAGAACAGCCCCAAAAGGAGCTGCTCGCTGACTGTGGCAGGCAGCAGGTCAGGCTGCCCCAAGGCTGGACAGAAGGAGGCAGTCCAGCCATGTTCAGCCCAGTTTCCACAGGTCCTCTAACAAGTGATGGAGTGAGTGGTTCTCCTGTCACATCGTCTTCGCCAGTCTCCTGTGCTGGCACAAGCTTCAATGCAGCCGTAGGAGAACCAGCCTGGGATGCTCATCTGCTCACAGCTACCCTGGTAAAAAGGTCAGTGTGAACCCATTCACCATGAACGTGCATCACACTAGTCTTTCAGTCACTCAGAGCCCCGCAGATTGGATTAAAGCCACCGAGCAAGCTGTTGCTGGGAGGAGAAACCCACTCCCCAACCACAAGAGCTCTCTTCACTGACACCAGAGACCCCCCCAGTCTCCCCGTTGATGCCACAGAAGTTATGCCAGAGCCCACCAAACCGATGACCCAGTGTGGGGCACCCTCCACCTTCACCTGCTCCCACTTCATGAGGCCCCTTTGGTCACCAGGGCTACCACATGCTAGACCACGTGCAACTTTGGTGTATACAGCAATATACAGCTCTGCTGCTGCTACATCCACACCCAGCCTGCTGACTACCCCAGCAAAAGGCTGCAAGCCTGTCTGCCCCGTCACATGCACTCCTCATCTATTTTGGGAGGTAGGGAGTTTGCTAAGTATACTAGGAAGAACAAAAAAGGCCCCAGGCCACTTGTCTGATGGGCCACAAATGTGTGATTGCTAGATCAAAAGAATCATCATAAGACCCTGGGAGGACCCAAACAGAAGCCTTCAATCCTCTTAAATAGATCCTGTGCAAGAAAAATCTTTGAGAAGATTTCTCCCTCCTGCCTCTTCAGGTGATACCTATTGGCACAGGCAGATAGAGATCACAGGATGCTTTGGGCAGGACACAGCATGGCTTGAAGAGGAAATCCGGCCTGTCTTGCGCTGTGGCTACTCCTCTGTTTGCAAATCACACACTACGCACACTAGAGCGGTTTGATCCCGAGGCCAGCAGTTGGTACACTCTGCAACCCAGGTGGCAGCAAAGGGCAGCTCTACATAAGGCTAAAGCAAGCATAAAGCAGTCATGCAATCTGCATGGGGCTGTGCAGCAAGCTGGGATTCAGCAGAAGCTCCTGCCTAAAGACAGGCAATGTTTCTGGTTAAGGGATTTGCATATACTTTGCTTAGTGACGCTGTGCTCCCTCCTGCCGGGGATGCAGGCTGCTCTCTGGACACTGGCATGCCCTAGAGAGCTCAGTTCCCTGCAACGCTACAGGAACATGCAGCACCCCCCCATCCTCAAACAGGAGAACATGAAGGAGCCACAGGAGCAAAGCACAGGCACAACTGCCTTGACTGCAGAGAGCCAGCAACACTGGCCCACAGCTGCCTGTACAAGCCCTAAAAAAAAAAAATCAGTGCTCTGCCATGCCCATGGGGCGCTGATAGCCTTCTCTCCCAGCAATCCCAGCCCCAGCGAACATCTTGAAATTTCACACTATCTAAAATTATCTCAGCGCAACTCCACTGACTGTTTGAGCCTTACAACAGTGAGGACCTGCCATCCCTGGGCTTCTTCAGTGCCTGCAGGAATGACACAGACTTGACAGTCAATCTGGGAAGCACCTCCACGTTGCCCTGCCAAGCCCCGTAGTTAAGCTCAAAAGCAGAAGGTACAGGCTGGGAACCCACAGCTCCCGGAGTAAGAGCTTTCTGAGCACCTTTACCTTGGTCTCTTGGTTGTTTTTGTTCTCGATGCCATAGATCTCCTGAAGCAGATAGCTCACCCGGTCAACCTAGGGAAGAAGACAACAGTTGGAGTGCCACATGCTCTGTCATTGCTGTTTCCTGATCACCTCCCTCCATCCCTGTGTCAAAATGTCCATGTTACCCCTGTAACAGCCAGATCCCCTATAGCTACATGAAAAAGTTAACAGCAACAAATACTGCAAAGGACAGCTGAGAGAATGAATCTTTCCTTGCTCAAAAGTGGTGCCTGTCCTGTGTGGTCTGAGCAGAGACGTCAACTGGCCGCTTCCATCACTATCAAAATCATCTACAAAATGAGTACTCTGCTTGTCTCACAGATCAAGAGGGACCACATACCCATAGCTCAAATAAGCCGGAGGCAATCAGCCTTACACAGTCCTCTCCTTCTATGAGGCACTGCTTAACTTTAACCAAGATGAACTTCCACCCGTCTCTGTAACCTCAGCAGAAGTGCTGCACCACCAGCTTGTTACTGGCACATCGGTGGCTGCACATCACCCCCTGTTCCATCACCCAGGAGCATAAGGTCAAGCTACTGCAAACAGACAAACCATCTCCCTTAGTATGAGAAGCACTCGAGGGACAACATTAGCGCAGTGTCATTTATTACCATCTCCAGACCCTTGGTGGCACCTCTAAATTGGGGTATGTGGTGGCAGAAAGTGCCCTAGGCACAGTGGACGTTGCTCACAGCCCCAAACCTGGGACATAGCCCTCAGATCCATGCTTTTACGCAAAGCTGGCAGCTGCCTGCGAAGTCCCCCGAGCAGCTGAATTAAAGCAGTGGGGTAAGAAAGGCCGAGGGTCTCGAGTCCCAGCGGGGCAAGCCCCCTCTGCACTGTGGGGTGTTCTCCCCTCTTCCCTAGCTCAGCCAGCAAGTACAGCACAAGACTCTAGCCTCTGCAAGGATGCACAGTGATACCAGTGCCCTGAGATCTTCCTGAGATCTGCTACACAGCAGCTTCCCCAGAGCAGGTCTTGTTCCTCTGCACAAAACCTCGCAACAGGTAAAATAGCGAAGGGGTTGCAAGGTATCAAACTGACGCATCTCGTGAATAGGGGAAGGAAACGCTTTCCTGACATCTCCAGTACTGTCCAGTTAACACCATGAAGTGAAGCCAAGCCACGGGGAATCCAGTGCTTCAAGAGCTCATCAGTCCCAGGGGTTTTGCCATTTCCATGTGTAATTTGCCTCTCTCCTCTCCTTTGGTCAAGCAGGTGCTCAGAGGAGCAATGGCTTTGCCACGGGATTTCAGTGCCGGACAAGACATCACATGCCAAGATGGGGGCAGGAGCTAGCTATATCCAGCCCGTTTGCCAGTTCAGAAATGCTCTGAGCTGGGATGCAGCAGCTTTAACAAACTCATTCCAGAGTCACCCCGTGTAACTCAGCGTGCAGCTTACAGACGAGCTGTTCTAGGCCTGCATTTCAAGGCAATGAGGTCAGCTGTTGGACTGCTGAGCAAAATGCTCTGCAGTGGCTCACAACTCACCCAGGAAGTTTGGGAACAATTATGTGGGAGATGTTCTTTTGTAACTTGACATTTCAAACAGAGGCTTGTTACAGCATCCTGACTCCTCAGAGGATCATGATGGGTGACAGCGAGTGCAAAAGCGGTCAGCTCAAAGCACAGAAGAGGTCAGGAAGGGAAAGACCAGAGTATCTGCAGGGGTCTGCCTTCCTTTTGCTGCTTGACTCTAAAACCCACGAGAAGCTCATGTGCCAGTAGGAAAAGGGTGAGCCATGCAACATGGCTCTTACTAGAAAGATCTCTAGGTTTTAAAAGAGTAGGAGTAAATAAGGAGGAGTAGGTGATTGTACACAACACAGTCCTTCACCTTCATACTTCTCCAACCCATCCCACACCATGTCATCCTTCCAATGGCTTCTGTTGCTATATACAGCCCCAGCTGATGCACACAGGAGCCACCGGCCAAGTCCAGGTCATGTTTTTCTGCTGATCCATCTGTTTGTATTCATCCATGCTGAATTTCTTTAAACAGGTTAGTATGTACACTATAACTGATCTCAGCTGAGAGAACAAAGCAGTTCAGCTCATTAGCTGCTGCTTCCTGCTCCAAAGAGCTTTAGAGATGGATGCACACAAAAGGTAGCCGGGAATCCTGGCAAGGGCAAGGAGGGGAAGGCAAAAGAAAAGCAGTGATGGGGAAGAATGTACAATGTTATACAACTGGCTTACTTCAGATGTATACTCTATACCCTTGCTCTATGCTCTTATGAGTGCAGATGCTATCTCAATTTCAGTGGTACTGTGTGTTCTCCTAGCAAAGGCTTCCTTCTATTTTAAAAGCCATAGGAGAGAACACATAAGCATTACATTTTACAAACTGCCAATAAAAAAAAAAAAAGAGTACCCACAACCAAACACTGAGTGGGAAGGTTACACACTCTGCCAGTAAAGACAGACAAGCACACACTGTTTCACTGCAGGAGTCAGCTAACCATACTGTGGTAGGATGGGAACTTCCCTAGAGAATACTTTGAGCAAGAAAGCCCTCCATTTGGGGAGTCCGAAGCGTGAAATGGAGAACGGTACACACTGTGTTAGTGTGCACAATAACCCAACACCAACTCAGAAAACTCACAGCTGTGTAAGCACTGCTTTTAAAAAAAAAAAATTTAAAAAAAATATTTTAAAATCCCCCCCAAAACCCACAAGCAAGATAAATGAGCGGCTTTTCATCAGCTCACAAATGCTCTTCTCTGATCAGAAGAATATGAGAGAAGGAGGCACCACTGGCACCACACTGCTCTGCTCCCTTGGTGCTCAGGCAGCCTCTTCCAGCACAGCGCACAAGCTCTCCCTTCAGAGGTATGGCTCTTCTGGATGTTCCCACTACAAACCTGCCTTTGCACGCTCGATAGACTCTTCTCTGCAATAGTCTCTCTCTCTCTCTCTGTGAAAAATACCTGTGCGTCCCAGATGGATCAACTAGCCAGGAGATCACGCTGCAACACGGCCACGTTAAGGACCAAGTGAGGGAGGGGAGCGCGGGTCAGTGTGGGACACACGGCTCAGAAGAGACATCAGGCTGGAGCAGCAAGTAACTCACCACTAGCATGGGGACAAAGCTCCGGCAGCGAGGGTTAATATTGCTGGCACTAGGCATGAGCAAGTCTGAAGGACAGGCTGTGAGTCTCTGCGCAGCGCTGGTGAGGCAGATAGCGAATTACCAAACGCAATTTTGATATATGATTAACTGCTACTGTTTTAGTGGCTCTTTTCTGACCTGGGGACTGGAAAGAACAGCTTAGAGCAAAAAATGTCTAATCAAGGCATTTAATGACCTTCTTGGGAGTAAAAGGCTTTTTAATTCAGATCAGAAAACACTAGCCATCAATTGCAAGCAGCTAAGTCAAACACATTTAAAGCAGAAACACAGCACACATCTAAAAGTAAAGGGATCAACCACCAAAATCTCATCCCTTTCTTCAAGACATTTCAAGCTGATCCTTGCAGCAGGATTACTACTAGATTTCCTTTCAGAAGCTGAAATTCTTGGCAATCTTAGCAGTTTCAGTTGGTTAAGTATTTCCCTCTGTGCAAGACTGGATGCAATTTCAGTCTTGATAAGACACTACACAGCTTCCATGCATCACACCACACCAGGACAGGCTAAAAAAGGGCTACAGATCCCTGATGTTTCCCTGCTTGCCAGTCTCCTCTCTTCCCTTCCCCTCATAATGTGTGCAGTCACCGCGGTACATAAACAGCAGCTTCAAACCAAGACCATGTCTGTGACTGCTCAAGTACCAGGATACTCGTAGGGGAGAGGCGAGATGAGCCAGAATGTCTTAGTCCCTGGGACATCTCCAAAGATATCTTGTGTACAAGAAGGAAGCTTGTGCAGGGAAAAGACATGCATAAGATCACCATGTGTCTTAACACACCCATATACGGAAAGCTAAGAGTTTTCAGCCTCCAGGTAGGACACTGGGAACATGCAAAGATATCCTTCCACACTGCAAAACGCAGAACCTAAGGAGATCAGGCAGCGTCAACGAACAGATATGCTTCACACTACTTAACGCATACAGCACTTAAGCTCACGTATGCAAACCTAATTTACCTATACCTATACAGACACGGAGGCATTGGTACTGTGCTTTGCCAGTTTTGTATTCAAGCACCAAACGCCAGCAAAGCTGGAACACACAGGGAAGACAGGAGCTGTATAGACTGCCTGCTGCCTAGAGGAGCACAGAGACCCGCACCACGGCTCCGCCAGTCCCACGCTGCCGTATCTGTTCCCCCAACGCACATCGGGCCCAACGCTAAGGGTTGCCAGCAGCTCGCTGCCTTTGCTTGTGATATCTGAGCTAACGAGGTGAGATGTCAGGCGCTCAGTGAACTAACACCGAAGCTTCCCACTGGGTACAGTCGGGCACCTGTGGGACACCAGGAAATGTCTTTAATCAAGCAGCATACAGGAAACAAGTACTTACGATCTGTTTCTGTTTTAAGGGCTTCACGGAAAAACTGCCATCAACGTGCTAGTAGGAAAAAAAAAAAAAAGGAAATTCATTAAATAACTGAAGTGTACAAATTAAGTGTAAAATAGCCTCATGATCAGAGTTGGTGCCTGCTAGCTAAGGGGAGGAGGGCATATGTATACCCGGGACAGCCTGAATGACAGTCATTCCCAGCAGTTAGTGGGACAGGGTATCGGAGTGCTCCTTGTCTGCTCCAGCGCAGTTGGCTCAAGTTAAACCTGGCTGAACCGGGTCAGAGCATACACAAAAATCCACCGGCACACTGGATGCTTTCAGGCTGCAAGCAATCCAACTGGGTGCAAACACTTCTTCAGCAAGTCCAGCAAGACTTGGCAGGGGATATTTGTTAACACCCTGAATAACATCCAGTTACAGAGCCACCCTTGAGACCAGAGCCCCGAGAGAGCAGGGGGCTGGCATTAGGCTGAGAACAAGGCTTCTCCACTGGATGGAGTCAGAAACAAGTCACACGTGCTCCACATTGCCATCTTCAGCGCTGCGGTGCCTGCCTCAGCCTTTCATTTGCTCAGTGGCAGCAGGCACAGCTGGAACAATTCTGTATATAGCTGGTGTCAGAACTAGCAACAGGAATAGCGTGCTATTTCTATTTTCTCCATCACCCACAAGGGTCAACTAAACTGAAAGAAACCGACTCTCCTGCCACAGTCTAGAGAGCAGGAAAGGAGACTTAGGGGAAGCTCCAGCAGGCTCTGCTGCTGTGAACAGTTGCAAGCGTGCATCTGTTTGCCGAAGGAGTTCCACAAGGAAGGGACAATATTGCACCAAAAGACAAAACGGTCCTCTTTTCCAGGCAAACACAAAGTGCCAAGTTTCTGGTTTTGGAAGAGCTGCAAGGCCAGACTACATAGCATCAAGATTACTATCCTGATCTTAAAGATACATATAAATAGCAAGTTACAAAGGCCTGCTGGTCTATCTGTCCTCTGAGCATGCTGTAGTGATCAGTGGCACTGCTTATTGGCAAGGAACTCCTCAGGATTTATGCGCCTACACTTCAAAAGCTGCAATTATTCTAAGGATGGGGAATATATTTTAATCAAAAAGGGAGGAGAAAAAACTCAACAAGCACTTTGCCCTGTGACTTTTTATTAAAAGAAAGATTTTGATCTTGTTTTAAGCATTCAGTGGAAGATTAAAAGTAAAAAGTGGCCCCACCAGACAGCATCTCCCTCTCACAGCACACACAGACTAGAAAAAGAATAGAAGCGCTTTCAATCCTTGAGCTCAGACCTGGACATGGGGCATAATCCAGCATTGATGGAATGGCCTGACCAGCTTTAGTTGGTACCCAGTTCTGCTGCATACGTCGTTCAGCTCCCTGAACATTACGGGGGCTTTTGCCATCACCTTTGTGCATCCAGAGCGCTCAGAGATTCTGCACAGAAGGTGGAATTTACCTATAATCCTTGAAATCCCGCTTCCAAAGCTGGAGCAGTTCAAGCCACTTTCAAATCTCATGCCGCAGAAATTTCCAAAGCTCCACTTCTGCCCTCACGCTAATACATTTCTAATACGCATGTATTTTCCTACTTTCTGTAAGGTGCTATTATCAAGTGCCGGCCACGGGGTGGTAGAATGGGAAGCTGGGACAAATCCGGGTCCAGGCGAGAGCTCTACTCCCTGACCACAGAGGCGGGGCTTACTGCAACAGCACTACGTTTGGATACTTGGAAAACAGCAACTAGACACACTCCTTTGTAAGCAAAAATCATACTCGCACCTTCAGATCCAAAACCTAATCTGAACCTAGCTACAACCAAAAAAGCTACGAAGGCAGTAGCCAGGGGAGCACGGGTGACTCTTGCAAATGAGGAAGGCAAACGTGTAGAATACTTCAAAATCAGGCTGTAGCTTGCAGGAAGCTGGTGGTCTCATCTATTTTTCTCTCCGCAGAAATGGCTGAACATTCATTTTGCAAGGCTAGGGGGTCTCCACCTACAGTATTTTCCCACCAAGATGACAGACGGGCTCCAAACACTACAGCCTTCCCCAAGGACCCACTGCCCACACTGTATTTTCTTTTTCCAGATCAGCTGGAGGAGGAAACTAGAAGCACAACATCCCTGCCCTAGTCCCAGGGGTGCTGCAGCTGCCCATCTCATTTCTGATGGATCTCTAATTGCCAGGAGTAGAGCTACCTACAGAGCCAGAGGTCTGAGCAGCCTTTCTGACACAGGAAAACTCATCTTCTTCACATACTAAGTCCAACAAAAAAGCAACCTAGAACACTCAGAGCATCCTCCAGCCACAAGGCTTCCTTAGGACTGACTGTGCTTCCCATGCCCTCTGACTCAGCTTGTCACCATCCACATTATCCACCTAGGAGGAAGAGAATAAGACCTGGCAGCTTGCTCCGGGATACAGCAGAAACCGAGTAGACTGAGAAAGAGAAGTGCCACATGCCATCCTGGAAGCAGGGAATTTCTAACAGCACGACATTGATGTTGCTCCCCTCTACATGCCCAGCTCTGCTCCAGCATCTCTTGCCTCACCTTAGCATGTCAGAACATCCTTTGCCCAGCACATATGTCTGCAGTATTACCACAACCAGACACACCATGGTGCAGTTATAGATCTTGCAACTGTTTTCAGGGTCCAGTTATCATGGGAAGAGATTTTGTTATCAAGGCTTGTGCCTTACCATGTAGGCAGCAGTCAGCTACATCAAACATGCTGCCGAAATGTAGTGGAGCTCAAAGTCTTTATGCAGGATGTATCCTAATTCTTTAAAAAGGGTTTGGTCCTACGCGTAAACTAAGGCCAGACAATGGTGCAACACAGTCTGGACACAGCAGATCCAGTTCTGCAAAGAGATCACGAGGCCCTGGAAAACTGCACGGTAGCAGCCACGGTCAACACCTTCCACCCTCAAACATCACAGCCACGGAGGCAGGCCCTCTCCCCACACACAGGAAACACCAGCTACAATTAGCTGAGTGACCAGCTCAGGTACAAATGATAATTACGGGCTGCATAGGAGCTGCTGCAAGCAATTATTTGTACTACAATAGCACTTAGGAACCCCAGTCACGGGCCAGGACTCTATTGTGCTAAGTGTTGTATAAATACAAACTAATGACACCTGGAAATGTTTACATATTCAAGGACAGGGACAGAAGGGAAAAAAAAATTCATTCACCTTTTCAAATGCAGCCAGAAGAACATGGGCATGACCCGTCACCTCAACCACCACTGCAAAAAGAGAAAGAGCAGTCCTGGTTAAACCTTGAAAGCAGCACAAGTACAAAACTACCATGAGCTGAATTTTAGTCCATTTACAATTTCTAAACAGCCACCTGTTCTATTTCCATCTCCTCTTGCAATTTAAAACTTTTCTTATCTTATTGTCAGGTTTGTTCATCTCACACTCCTGCTGGGCTCTGTGGTGGGCCTACACAGACATGTCTTCACTATCTTGGGTGCTCCAAACTATCTCACTTTGTTTTCAGAGGTTGGAAAGGGAAAGTAAAACAAAGAGTTCAGTGGGATTCCACTCTCCCCTCAAATTCCTGGTTTTAATTACCTGAGTTTATCACAGAGATGAATAAACCCATCTGGTTTAACATCAACTGGCAGCCCTTCCAGCTCTGGTACTTATCACTCTATTTCACTCTAATCCTACACACTCATAAAACATTTATTTCTCATACCATTTTTGGACAGTGAAACATCTCTGTGCAGTTCTCTGATTATTTCCCCTCCCACCCCCCCCAATGACAAATGTCATGTCTCCCCTCTTCCAAACGTGAGGCTTCCCTTTTAACCGAACAGCACTGAGAAGGGGCCCTCAGAGGTTGCTGTACTGCTTTCATGGCTCCCTCAGCAATAAAAACACAGAATAGAGGAAGCTGAGGTACAATCCCAGTCTCTCTGACTCAAGACTCTAAGGTTTCGCTCAGCTCCAACTGGCTGGACCCTATTGCTTAATTATGTTCAGACTCATCACGTGGAAATGGGAGACAGAGGTCGTGGAGGAGTCGCCGAAGGAAGGGAGCGCACGTAACCACCTCGCCCTGCCTGGACCGACGAGTACCCCGGCTGTGCTCAGCACAAGCAGAAGAGCTGGCAGACACTACTATCAGCTCTGAGCCAGAAAGTTAACAGCTGAAGAACGCAATTCCTCTGTTGTCTAAAAGGGAGAGGAGCTCAACAGCTTCCTTCGGGCTCCCAGAACAGCAGAGACAACAAGAGGAACCATTCACTGGATCTACGGCACAAAGAGCATGTTTGGAAACAGCAGTATGTGGGAGAAGAGAGTCCATGCCTGCAGATTTGCTCATGGCAATTTGGGTGCAATCAGGAACATAATGGCATGCAGAAAAGAGGGCTAAAACTGGGAATTCATCTGCTTGTTCCCCCCCGGCCAGCCAAGAGCAAGTCTGTTCTAGCTCCCTCTGTAAATGACATTCAGTAAATGACTCCCTGAAGTTCGAACAGCCAAGGAAGAGATAACCAGCATCGCTTCCCTTCATATCCTCCCTGGCATTCAAGCAGCATGTGTGGCTGGAGCTGCGCGACCCATTCTGTGCGGCACCTTCCCTCCCCAAAGGGTTTCTGTACCTTTCCTTGACAGAAATCCCACTGGCAGGAATGGGAGAGGGCTAACATTGCAAGCTCACGTTCTTCAAGGCATGCAAACATCTCCCGGCAGAATTCAGTCCAAACCGACATCTTGCTGACTGCTATTTTAATTCGCCATTCAATGTTATTTAGCACAAGCAGTTACAGGCCAGATGCAATTTTCCAGGTGCCCCAAACACACAACGCCAGCTCCTTCCAGTCCCACCAGTTAAAAAAGAACCAAAATACACAATTTCCTAAAATCTCGCAAAAGTGTCACATATTTCTGTGCTGATATTCTTTCCAGGAGAGGATTTAAAAGCAATTGCCTTTCCAGGTTATTAAAATAGATGACAGTACACTATTGGCTAAGACTGGGCATGGTATGTGCATAAATGTATGCTTCCCATGCTGCCTCCTGTTCTATTTTTGGTACTTCTAGGCATGCCCAACATTAGAAACTACAAATACCTTGCCAAAAACTCCATAAACAGAGGAAGGTTGTTTATATTTATGGTCAAAAAATATACATATATGTCAATTTTACTAACAGTGCCTGAAATCACTAAAAATAGATGCACTTTAGAAGTCATTTCCTTTATGTTGCATTGTGCTTTGTTAGTCACGCTTTAAATTGGTTCATCTGGTTTTATTTCACTCTGCTTGGAGGACTGTAAAATAATGCAATGAGTTTCTGGGCACTTTCACATCTACAACATGGAAAACTGAGCAAGTGACTGCACTAAACAATGTAATCAACAATGGGTTTTTTCCTTTCTAATTATTCTAAATGTTGCACAAAACGTTACAAAATGCAGAAGTGAAATGTTGATCCTGCTGACCACAAGTGCCCACAGTTTTAGAGAAAATGTTACTTCCTTGTGCCCTTTTCATTGCTCACAATGAGCGCAAACACAGGGAGCCCAAAAGCACACACCCGCTAGGGAAAATACTGGGCAAGGTGAGTAACAATCCAAACATTTACTGGATTTCCCTCTCCAAAATGGTAACGTGCTTTCAAACTAGCCAACAATATTATTTCTCACCAAAGGTTATGCTCTTTTATTGCAACCGTTCGGAAAAAGCAGAATTTTAAACTGCTGAATGAAGCTGTATTTGGTTGAACAGTGGCCGGAGCATTTTAAAGCCATTTCTTTTTCTCTGACAGTTCCTAGGGCAAGGCCCGTTAGCTATAGCTTTTATGAAGACAACTTATTCCACAAAGAGGGGGAAAAGACCAACTCTCTCCTTGCCTTACAAACTGCAAATGCACAACCCAAAGAGAAAGGAAGTAATTTGCTCCAGTTTGTGCCTGGCATTGGTGGTGGAGCCAGGAGCCCTCCTAAACACTATTCCAACACTAAATACCTGGCCATTTTTTCCTGTTAAAAAATGGAGGCTATTTTTAAAAGCATGTTTTTATGTAAGAACCCATGGTTAGCTGAGCCCTTTTAATACAGGGAAGTTAAGGGGAACTCCTGAAATATTTTTATTCTGGAAAGGCTCCCCAAGTAAAATGTTTTCATCATTGCAGAAGGAGTCACCTAACCTCAAAGAGAGCTAGAAGACCAAGGGAGCACACCATCGTGCTTACCATCGCCTTCATCCACCACCGCTCGGATGACCACAGGGAACACGCCACGATCCAAATCAAAGTTCAGCTGAGGGAAAGAAACAAGACGAGGTTAGACAATTCACACCAGGCTTGCCTGAAGACGACGCTCGAGATAGCGTTAACATCAGAGGAATGAAGGGCCCTTCTGACGGGCCCCCAGTTCCTGGTCTCAAAAGGACACGACAGAGCAGAAGGATTTAAAATTCAGGCACCAACTTTCAAAGGGAGTCAACCAGAATAACTACAACATATATACATTGATATGGCACTAAACACCAGCCGTGGCTAACAAAGCAAAGGATCTCCATTTGAATTTTAGACGGTATTTAATTCTCACTAATCCATATATCCCAAAAGTCTCCCAAGTGATCTGTAGTAGGACAAGTTTCTCAAAATATAACTAGTGCCATAGTTTTGCTTCCATAGGGTAGGACGTACTGCTTATAGCACAGCCATACGCACTATGCTCCCTTCACCACAAAAGAAACCCTGACTCCCGTATGAAGTTCTTGAAGACAAAGGAAAAAAATCTGTACAACTTCAAGTTCACGCAACACTCTGAGGAAACACCAGACTGACTTCCATCTCTTGGCATGCTATGGAATTCAGGTCCTTGACCTTCTCATTGGGAGAGTGAAAATTTAAGATCTCACTTGAGTCCAAGGAAAACAGACTCAATTTCTTCCTTTGCTCTGCACTTCATTAAAGCACTTCAAAAGCTCCATGTCATCTTACAAACACAAGAAAAACGGAACCTTACAAACACTGTCCTATGCCAGGAACAGAAGTGGCTCAGAGACTGGATTTCTGGTGGTTTTTGTTAATTACTTACTTGGGTATTTTTGTGTCATTTCTTGCCAAGAGAGAAAAAGATGTCATTTCACCATGGTGTTCCAAATAGCCTGTTTTCAGATTTCCAGTGAAAACTGAGACCCAATTAGAAGCACGGCAGCACTGTTCAGGCAGTGCTTTGGGGCTTCCCTCACTTTCCCCACAGCCCCAACATCATTTGCAGCGTGATTTTCTCCAGCCAGTCCCTCAAAAGATAAACTATCAAGATAGCCATTGGCATTGGCACAAATGGCAACCCAAAACACGTAGACTGGAGAGAGGGTGATCCTCACCATGAGCTTTAGCATAGCTGAAAATGGTTTCTTCCTCAAATGAATTACAACCTAAATGTTCATCCTGAAATGAATGATAACTGTGCACTGGGAGACGATACACCCTGGCAGCCACCAGCCAAGTGTGCCGTAGCCCATTAGCTACACGGCTGTGCCTCTGCCAAGAGCTGCAGGCAGTGCTTCGGACTGCAACAGCTCACCCACCTTCCATGGGAGGTGCGGGGCGAAGAGGGAATTGCAAGTCTGCTACTCTTCTGTCCGTAGCTGCATGCTCCTCATGCAGGCTGCATGCCTTTGGGGCCACTCAGCTTCTGCAGGGCTTTCTAGAAGCAGCTCTTAGCTGTCTAACAAAGCTTTGTGCACACACACCCCGTTCAAATGTGCGTAGCTGATTCCAAGCAGAAAGCACGTGCTGGAAGACCTTATGATTTGACCTAGCTGGTCTTCAAACCTGAGGGATATTGATTTTCACCCGCTGTGTGACGGTTTTACATTTTATTCCTCCTTTAAACTACCAGAATCTATTCTCTTTCCAAAACAGCAGGGTAACAGAGCAAACACAAAAATCCCATTTAACCTCTCAGTATTTGTTACAGAAGAGATTCATTGAGCCACTATTCTCCAGCTTGCATTTTTGAACCATTATGGCACGCCACAGAGGGAAATTTCATCGAGGACAATTGATTAAAATTGCTGAAAAAAGCTTATGGTTTTGTTTTGCTTTGCTTCCTGCTCTGATTTATTACTGTATGACAACAGTTACTGTTTGTCCATTTGAAGGGAAAGTCACATCATAGAATTGTGGTTGCTTTGCGATCTAAACTTTTGCATTCTGAAACAAAAGGCCTCTTTAAGGGTCCATTTCACATTCATTTTTAGGGATCTGAAAACAACCGTCTCAATACAAGCCATAAACTATAACTTGTAAGCAAACCAGTATATTATGAAGGCAAAGTAAACTTTTATAAAGCTTTCCACATAACAGCCCAACATAACATTATTTTCTCTTCTGTTGGCCAGCCAAGAACTACATCATATGCGAGTATTACACTGAGCAAAAATATGAAGTAAATCTAGGTTTTTTGGACAACACCAATAACAAAGCCGGAAAGCAATGTGAATCATGCAATTGTACACAGCTGAGTGATAACACTCTGCCAGCTGTCTCAGATCAAAGTGCTGTATTTCAGTGACCACTTACGAAGATCTAGCCATATGCATTTTACTGGACTTGAGAGGACAAGGACTGCTATGTACACAGAGCAGAAATGGGAGAAGAAACTCTTTTGAATCACAGTTCTTGTTCCACATTTTCTCAACAACCAGAGCTCCCAGGAACACCAATGAAAGTGGAGACAGAGGATGCAGTAGAATCAAGCAAAGGGAACTAGAAGCTTACTTTTCCCCAACATCTCTCCCTTTAAACTGTCAAAGGGACATGACTTTAGTACTCAAGTTAAAACCTTGCTGGCAGGAACAAAAGTGAAAATTAAGCTTCTGAATTCTTTAAGAAGAAAGGGATCTGAGCTCTCTCAGACGACAGAAGGGATTGAAAAGCAGCTCTTCCAAGCTTTTGTAGGCTGAACTTGTGAAATCATATATTGGCAGAAAAGCCAAGACATCAGGAGACCAGACTCTGCAGGCTCTTGGTAACTGCCATGGCATTTGTTAAGGCACGGGACTGATTATAGTTATAACTGTAACTTCAAGACAATAGCTATTCAATCTTTTCAAAATACATGAAAGATTACTTTTTTCCTTTCTTCTTTTTTATTTCTTCTTTTTTTTTTTTTTTTTTTTTTTTAAGGTAGAGTGGTTTGGGGCTGGGGGGGGGGTGTTTGGGGTTTTTTTTAAGTAAGTAGAATTATCTACCCAGGTTCACATACACTAGACTCTTATACAGGCTTGGGTCAGGAAATGAACACTGTATCAGTGTTGACCTGGGAGAAGGGTCGGCAGGAACAAATATATTAGCAGTAGCTACAGACCGACTCCTCTGCATCAGAAATCTCTTACGGCAATTCGGCACAGAGCAGGGGAAACACCAAGGCCTCCCTGTCCTGCGTCACATGCAGGGAAAGCCCTTGGGCCAAAGCTCAGAGGCTCAAGAAGCAGAGAGTTACTGCCTGGGTTGGAATTTTGCAAAGATACCAAAATTAATAGGACTCCACAGATCTTGCTACGTAGTAAAAGCCACAGAGCTTAATTAAAACCAAGCCCTCGTCTGTTTGCAGTTATGGGTTAAACTGAAAGGAGAAAGGCATTCCCTTATTCAGCATTAATGCACCAGTGTGAATCTGCCCCAGAAGGGAGAGTATCCCCCCACACACACTGTACTGCTACAGTTAAGAATGCAGGATGTGGCCCTTAAATGGAAGAACGGGACTCTTCTAGAGCAGTGGTCTCCAAACTATTTTCACTGTTCATCCCATCAGAAAAAAATTTTGAGCACATACTCCCAATATATGTATATCTATTATTTATAAGATACACATGTACTACTGAAGTTCTTCCTGTACCCCAATGAATTGTCTTGCATGCGCCCCACTTTGCAGACCACTGTTCTAGAGGACCAGCCAAAAAGCCAAAACGAAAAAAACAAAAAAAACCCCCACCAAAACAGAGAGATCAAGACACATTTGTTCCCACAAGCTCTTTGGCTGGCAGGAAGAGGAAGGTTGAGGAGCAGTAGGTTCCTCCAGAAACAGCTCCAGTGTCAATCTCTGTAGTCTCCCTCCTACACCAGACGTTGGGACGCCAGTTGATCAGCAATATCAAAAGTCACTTCTTGGGGTTTCTTCCCTGTTTGCCTGATCTACCTGCCAAGTTCCTATACAGCGTTCATACCTGCTCCTCCCAAGGCCCCATTTATCTCATACCCACAAAACATGCCATGGAAGCTGGGAGAGGATGTCTTCCAGCCATAACTTCATGGCGCTAAACGGAGTCCAGCGCTTCTGGGACAACAGGGTTGTGGAAAGAAGGGGATGCTGAGAAGACACTTACCTCATCATCCTTCCAGTCTGAGAAATCAATCTTGAAGGAAGGCAGGGAGAATTGCTGGCTTACCCCTCTCTTGTAATGAACCGTCTCCGACTGCAGAGAGGGATTCTTTGTGCTGTATCTGAAGAAAGGGGGGGAAAAACAGAAAACTTGCTGTAACAAATGATTGCTCTCTGCTAGGCTCTCATGTATTCACGCCTGTCCGCCTTTCAGGAATCACAAGTGGCAGCTCTAAGAGGCAGAGCTGGCAGGCGCTGGCAGCCATTCAGTGGGGATACAGAAAGGGAAGGGAAAGGTCAAAGCAAGAAGGTGAGCACAGGGAAGGGAAAGCAGCGCAGACAGGCAAGGTCTGATTGGATCCATACTGACCTGCCTGGAAACACTGGGTGTCAGAGGAGTACAGTGGGGTGCGGCAGCCTGGCAAAGGCTAACTCACTAAATCCAGGGCCTAGGCAACACTGGCTTTCAGCCCAGCACACATTCTTATTTTCTGCAGGAAACCCAAGAAGAATGAGCTATGATCTAACAGAGGCAACACGCAATCCAACAACGGCACTGAAAGCTCTCCCGTGCCTCCACAGGACAGCTCTGCAGTGAGAAACACTGCTTGGCTCACCATCATCCTGGTAAGCAAGAGCCATTCCAATCCAACCGTCTACTCCTCATGTGCTCACCCAGAGGTGTTGCAGGGCAACCACCACCAACAGAAAGACATCAACCAGTCCTCTACTAACGTTGGCCACCTACAGAAGAGTCACAATTCTTCCACTTTCTTGAGGTCCAGCACTTAAACGCCAGCACTACCAGGCTGGGATGAGCATCACTGGAATGTGACCATAGATACCATCCACCACCTTCTGCACCCAGAGCCCACCCAGTGCTGTCTGCCCCAAGAGAAATGTTTCATTGCCCACTGACAGACACCACAGACAGTGTGATTCACAGTGGGCTTTGGTGGCAAAACAGGATCAAGACGTTTTCACCCCTTTCTGGAGCGTGACTTCTGAGCTGGATGTGCACAGCCTCTCCCTATGCTAATTCTGGCACAGGAGAGGAGGCAGTGAACTGCAAAGCAAGGTGGGAACATCTGAAGCTGGTTTTACCACCAAAGCCTTTGTCGTCAAGCTACCAACCGTGTGTTCAGGGCATGTTGACAAACCAGAGAGAAAGTGAGAGAACACTTGCCCAAGAGGCTTATACTGCAGAAACAGCAACCTCCCCCGGCACAGTGACGAGACAGGTCTAGCTCCAGTTCTACAAGAAAGACTTCAGCAGCCAGTCACTGTAATGGGATGTTCTCTCTTCTGCACACTAACCATCACTTCCTAAGCAGAGCTTCACACGGTTAGACCGCGAGAGCAGTGGCCTCCAGCAACGGCACACTGAACAGCTACAAGCTCAAAGCCTTGTTGACTTCAGACTTGATTGCCACTGTTCTTGATCAACCAGACAGCCTGGGGACAGGCTCCAGGGACAGGTATCATATTAGCACCAGGAACTCTAGGCTGAGTTTTTCCTTCATTCAACTTGGGATCCCCTGAAAACCAGCTCCTCAGATTTTGCTAATTCCACAGGCAGTACTACTGCCAGCCCTGCAAAGGAGAAAACACAAGAGGAGATTGAGGCATTTGATGTGGCCAATTCAGTACAGAGCCCTGTAAAGCTGCGCAGTTAACAGAGCATGCACAGAGGCAAAGAAAAGAGAATCCTTGCTTGAAAAATAGGATTGTGTATTTTTGAGGACATTCAGCTGTTCTGAAACACAGACACAGCTTACAAATCACCAGGTACATAGGCAAAGGTTGGAAAGCTCCAAGTTCCTTTGGCCTAACTACACTTCATGGAGGAACGCAGTACACCAGAAGGGGATGGCAATACAAAGCTTTTCTACATCTGAGGTAATGCTTTCTGGTTTTTGCAAGCAAGGAGTGCAGAGTGCTGGGAGTTCACTTCCAGAGGGGGTGAAGCAAAATCCATGGGGTGCAGAGTCAATCAAGAACTGCAGGACTGAGCATCACACCAGAGATGTGAAGACTAGGCTGGAGGACGGTGATTAGAGAGGACAGGCCTGAAACTAAAAACTCAGCTTCAAGCGATGCTGTGGAAACTTTACACTCAGGAGCTATAGCTCTGGCAGCTACGTGCAAGAGCCCACAGAGACAGTGGGCTGCCCTCCAGGCTCAGACCAGCCAGCACCATACCACAGAGCCTTAAAACACGATGATTAGGATGCATTTTGCAGCTGAAGGTGTAAGAACCTGGATAGCAGAAGATGATGAATATTTATTAATTCCTCTAAAACCCAAGGAGGAAAAAACAGGCTCCCCACTGGCATGAACTGCTGCCTTTCTCTGGAAAGCTAGTGTAATTCCTGCACCTTTTGAGGATCCAGAAGGCTTATCAAGTGTCACTAGATCCATGTCAAATTCTGGAAGGCAGTGATGAAGGCCAGGTTCACCACATGCACTTCACTCTTCCTGCCAAGGCAGGTGCATTATGTTATTTATGACAATACCTTACCCTCAAAGACCATTCTGTACTGTGCTGAAATTGTGCTGCTTTACTAGAAGGTCTCACTCCACCCTTTGCATTTAAAGCATGGTGTGGGAGAGATCAGCATGACAGGTCTTTTATGTGTGAATTACAGAGCGAGCAATTGAGTGAAGTTTTATTTACTGAGTTGTCAAGCACAATGAATAGAGCAAGCCTGTATCTAGCTCCTTTTGTGGTGCTCTCAAAGCTTCCCAGCGCTGCAGAGAGGCACAATTCTCCCTCTACAGCTGGGAAAGCAGAGGATGGAAGAGCGACTTATCTAAGGTGACAGCAAGTCAGGAACCTACTAGAAATAAAGTGCAGAGGAGAGAGTGGAGGTCAGAGGCTGCCTGGATGACATGCACCACAGCAGCGCTGGGAAAGGGGTGTAAACATGCTGATGATGAGTGCTGGGAAGACCGGAGGACCTGCACTTACAGCACCGGAAGCCCAAACCAGTCTACAACAGGAAAACAAGTAACGCTGTTCCAAGGAGGAGAGGGCAGAACAATACTCGCATAGACTTGCTGCTCTCACCGCCCCTGAGAAAAGAAATAAATCAGGTACACAGATTTTCTGAGCTGAAGAGTGACAAAAATACCACGGAGGCTTCCCCAAGTGAACCAAGTGACCTTTATGCCTTGGACTATCTGACTGCCTAGTCTCCAGTGCCAAAAAGCATGTCAGACTTGGATCTGAATGCCCAGCCAACGCTGGAAACCTCCAGTCAGCAGCCAGTGCTGAGGCTACTGAGCACCAGCAGGCCAAGCCTGGTGAATTCCCTGGAAGCGCTGGTGACCCCAAATTGTCACAGAGATCAATCACCTTCCTGAGGTGATGCACAGGATCCACTGCACAAGTACACACTCCTCGTGCTGCATGGGAGGACAACTTGGCAAGCCGTTACAAAGCAAGTATCCTGCGTATTAGCATCTAAGTGGTGTCTACCCATCCCCAGCCCTTTTGGTTGGCATCTGCTGTATTCCTAAGTCTTCTATTCCCTGCCTATGGTGCTGTGGGCTTACAACAAACAATTGTGGAGAAGGTCTGTAGAGCTGTGGAGATGTGTTACAGGAAAAGAGAGCATGTATTAAGAATAAAGGATAGCAGAGAAGCAATGCGCTGCCCTCTCCCTGCATAAAGGCTGAAATCTGAATATTTGGGCTGCTATTTCTTAGACTGTACCAGGCCAGGTCTCCATCCAGATGGGAGGTCTAACAAAACCACCCACCTTGCAATCACTGGCAGCTCAGGACAATGGATAAGTGAGGTCTGTCATATTAGGTCAGGACCAAACAGAAATCCCCAGTCACATTTTTTTTTAAACCTGTTTGTTTGCTCAGGTACCCCAACAGCATGAGAATCACCGGCAATGTGAGGTACCACACTGCTGACTGCAGCAGCAGCCCCCAGCTCTGCCCTCAGGATTCATGCAGCCCATCGCCTCCTGTATGCTCTCTGACACACCTTTACACCTACAAAGTGAAGCTTACACTCCGCACAGACTCCTCCTTCCCCCATGTCAAACCCTTCCACCCCCCAAAACCAGTGGTGTGTCAGAGCACTGGCAGATGAGAAGCCCTGTGACTACATCACAGCGATTTTTGAGAGAACAGGAAACAAACTAAAATTATTCCCTAGTCTCACTCCTCCACCATCAGCTGAGAAACAGAGAAACTCAGCCTGTGACTCACGCAGGCTTCTCCCTGTACACAGTCCAGGCTTGCTACCAGGCACCTGTAAACCTTAACTAGCTCCCAAGCCACCAGTGGGAGTCTTTCAGGAACGTCTGGCTAAGCAGAGTTAAACTTCTGTTGCTACATGCTCACTGGAGATACAACACAAATTTGTGGGGGTGTTTCCCCCTCTCGCTCAGCCCTGATCAGCGCCTGGGGAAGTTCTCAGCAGGGCACCGGTCCCAACTCCTGCAAACTTCTTCACTGCTGCGTTCCTCATGCTCAGCTCCACCTGGCACTGGGGATGCCTCGGACAGTCAAAAGACAGTTCCTGTTACCACAAGCACCCTGACCAAGAAGAACCAAGCGAGGATCCTAGCCAGCTTGCCTCAGAGTTACGCAGAGCACTGTCCAGACCCCATTCCTCAGAGAAAAGCAGGATGCACGTAGCAATACTGCCTCAAGGTACCGTTTTTCATGAGCAACGGCTGAGAGACAGTCTGCACTTTGAAGAGCCTGTAGACAAAATAAGAGTCCTCTTTCTTTAGTAACAGCTATGCGTGTTGCATGGCAATTTGCAGTGAACTGAGGACAAGGCAGAGTTACACGAGAGCTTTAGAGGGTACCCAGGAATCAATTCTTCCACTGCTGCAGGCTGTGACTGCCTGGCAGGCTCCATGTCCTCTTGCAGGTGACGAGGAGGGAGCCAGTCACGTTCTGCTGGTGTTCAAAGGGGCCAGGAGGTGATGTGGAGCAAGCACGCTGGCCCCTCTCTCTCACCCTTTCCATTTTGGGCCAGGGTCTCACAGGTCAGCTTTTGGGGGAGAGGGAAGTTGAACAACTGTATCAACGCAGAGTGGTTTTTTTACTGATAAAAGAAACACTACCAAAATATAAGAAGGCCATAGCCTGA